GAGGTCACGGACAGACGGACAGACAGACAGACGGACGGACATGGCGGGCACAATAGTGCATTTTTTCCATAAATGAGAAAATGCGCTAAAAAGCTGACTGGCCCGCCTACACGGCAGCCATCGAAGCGGCACTCGATACGGTCCCTCACCCCACCTCGTGTGGCGGTGAGTCGACCCTGAGAGAATTCTTGACGACTGCTGCAAGAGCATATCCCTGCCGGATTCCGGAAGGACTTCTCCCCCTCGGTCAACCCTGGCACCCGAATCCTCATCGAGCAATGGTATGCCATCAGGGCGCGTAATCCAACAGACCCCCGGCTCCCAAAACTCAACCTGGAAATTAGTATTTTCATTCAGGTCCATGCCAGGAACACATGGCGAACACATCTTGCGTCGTGCCTTTCAGAGCCATCCACTCGGGCGTTCCCCTGGGCTCGCTCATCTCGCCGGCCCTCTTTAACCACTTCATCTCCGAAATCCCAGTGCCGACCCCAAACATTGCCTCATACACCGACGACCTTACCATCTTCGTGTCGTCCCCGAGGCGAGGCTCGACGCTGCGGAGGCTGAGCTCGCCTCGCTCCTTCGCAGCGTCTCAGATTGGTCGGCTGACAAGAAACTGGCCGTGGCTCCTGGCAAGTCCTCGGTCACGCTAGTCACCCCAGATACGCACCAATCCCGATACCACCCATCTGCCACTATCTGCAACGGCATCATCCCCCTGGATTAAATCCCCAAAATCCTAGGCGTCACCTGTGATACACACTTCACTTTCTTCCCTCATACAAGAGCCGTAGCCACGAAAGCGACGGGTTCTCTCCGCATCTTATAAGCCCTTGCTGGCACCAACTGTGGCTTCACCAAGGAGGACATAATTGCCACCTATCGAACCATCACACGCCCAATCCTCAACTACGCGGCCGCCATCTGGTACCCTGTCACCTCACGCTCAGCAATTGCCAGTCTGTAAACAATACAAAACACTGCTTTAAGACTAGCAACCGGCTGCCTCAAAAGGGACGCCAGTCGGAGATCACCACTGCCTTGCTTCGAATGGACTATCATGATCCCTTCCCTGAAGAACGTAGCCTANAGGCAGCGGCTTTCCTGGCCACCCTCCCTGCCTTCGCCCATCTCCCCCCTCTTCCGGTGCCGGCCCCCCGCCCACCACCAGAGCCTCCCCCCGGCGAGCGTGATGGTCGCAATAAACAACAACAACTGATCGATGATGTAGCGTTCGAGTTTAGCTCAGCTGTTCTAAAGCGACTTGAACATGTGAACTGCGACTATATCACCACTCACCAAATATCGTATATGCGTTCAATATAAATTAATAAAATATGTTTTGAAGCTTTTTAATTCATGGTTTTTGAAGAGATCTTCAAATAAACTGCAATAGCAACGCGTAACACGGGCCAATAACGAAGAGTGTGTATGGCAAACGGGACAATAGCAACGTTTAACACGGTTCAACAACATGGCGTATGCATGGCATACAGGGGGACAACAGCAACGTGCAACACTGGCCTACAACGACGAGTATGTACGGCATGTGGCACCATGAAACACAAAAAAATAAAATCAAAATGTTTCACAATTAATCTTAAACGTTCATCCTACAGGTTCAGTTTATTCTTTATCTATTATTGTATTTACTATAGAAGTGCAAGAAATGGATGCAGAGATAACCGCACAGTTCATAAAATGCTTAAATGAAAAAAACATTAGGATAGTCAATGTACCCAAACACCATGGGGCCACGGCTATAAACTAAAAAAAACTGCGCTGCAACTTCTCCACACGACAACATTTCTTCTCGCTTCGAATCACCGACATGTGGAACAGCCTCCCCGATGACATCGTTGGCGCTCCGAGTATGAACGCGTTCAAGAACAGACTAGATACAACTATGGAAAAATATATGTTGACTTGAAATGCCTAGCACCATATCGAACCCTGTGGAAGTCTAGTAGCTATTTCAAACTATCGTCGGTCCTGAAAAGATCCGGTCAAATGACACGATTTTAGATCTTCTGTGAACAAGGCACGAAAAGTAAAGAATCGGCGACAGGCCACACCAGGCCTACTCTTCAGCGCCGACATCGCTATGTTATGTTATGTTACCGTAAACACACTCAGAAGATGCGGTAAAAAAAACTTAGCATTGTTCGAGTTACCGAGAACAGCTTGCTCGAGTTACGGGAACAGTTGGCTTGATTTCGAGGAACAATTGGCTAGCGTTCAAAATATATTGTAAAAATATAAAATTTAGTATAATGTATTGAAAAAATCAGTAGTTGACCTGGTCACACGATGGTCGCGAGTGCACTGAGAAGCGCCCCACGATATTTACAGGAGTGACTAACAAGATTGCCGCTGTCATATGTATGACCGCTCAGCCAGAGTAATGGGAACGAATTGCTGGTGAAGATAAATTGAATATAGATAAGATAAGAGAAAGGATTATTTAATTAGGCGCGTCCTCGCGTTTACTGCTTTACCTTCATACATAATTTTGTCGTGGGTAGAAAGCAACGAAAGAAGTTATGAAGCATCAATCAATAATTAGTCGAGTGAACATTAGAGTCGAGTGGACATTAGAGTCGAACGGGAGAGATACGAGATTAGAAGGAGGGAGAGTAAGAGATAAGAACGACACCAATGCCTTATTAGTCCGCTAATCGCTTGCCTAAGAATATTCGTATAAAAAAATTGTCGGCTCTGACTTATGAGATATTAGCTCACCTGCAGCAACGTCTTATCAACTCCTAGAAACACAATACGATAACTTCGAGAGCCCAGCTCAGGATATGGGGAATTCAAAACAGAGTTTAGCTCGTAAGTCGCGTCAAGACCGCAGTTAAATAGTAATACTTTAGCTGGCTCGATGTCACTAGCCTTAGTACAGCTTTTTACAGTAGAATAAAACTCTGGTGGATACTGTACAATAAAGATAAAGTAACTTCTATGAAAACTACTACCAACGCTCACACCAAGAGTTCTGTAATTCGCAAAAAATCAAAACGTAACTGAACATTTCAAACTCCAAAAACACCTCGCATATATTATGTTTGTAAAGATATCGTCTACCGGTACATATCAGGCAAACTAAAAAGGACTTGAATATATTATTATCGTAGTCATCCAATTTACTTCTTTTGGTAGCAGAGAAGGTATAATTAACAACATTAGATCTTTTAATGTTATTATTATTATTAATATTATTATTTATTATTAAGATTATTATTAATATTATTGATCAATTCAGGAGTTCACGACGTGCATGAGTATGTGGTGCGCATGAGTTTTATATTAAGAAACTTCCACATTCATCATGCATTTTCACGTAGGTGTTAAAAACTTGGCTGATATGGATCAACAAAACAAAGTGATGCTTAATTGAACGCCCTTCTCATCGTCCCAGCTGTGGAACACTTATGTATAATTTTTTACATAATACTTACTGATATCACTTGTCTAGAACTGACCATCAAACGGTAGAAGTTTCCCTTCGCGTGCTGGAGACCCTGGTTCGGTACCGCAGCGTTTTTTATACAAGGTAATTTTTGGAGTTCTAAGCGTATTGCAGTGGGAAATTTTATCCCTGTTATATTCCTGATAATGTTTTTTTTAAGTAATGCTGGAACTATCGACGTAATCCGAAGAACGCATGATCGTTTGAAAGTGAAGTCGGCCAGAATGATTGCTTCATACAAAGGGAAAATTTATCGTGGAATTTATTTGAAAGGTTGTTATCGTTGGCTCATCAATGCGCGATGATGCAGTAATTTAGATTTTGGGGAAAGAGGGGTTTTCAGGCAAGATGACAATCGATAAGCCTTAGGTAGAACATTGGCCGGGCACGCCATCGATGCCGCATTATGTGACATCTCACGATAAATAATCGTTGGTGATCCTTCAATAAATCATCGGTGATCCATCAAAAAATCATCGGTGATCCATCAATAAATCATCGGTGCCCCACCGATAATTATTGTTAAGGATTATGACACTGCCGTTCGCTATCATAGAAATGCTCCAAGTCAGCCCGCTGATCCTGCTTGTTGTTGTAGTTCAGCGCCTCGCACAGCCTGCAAATGTGGCGTGTGGGTGCCCCCATGTACCCGTGCTCATTTAGTACGCGGTACCGCCTCCTCCAGTCGTGGTACTGCTGGTACTTAGCGGGATGGTCGAGGAGGTACCTGGAATGTTGAAAGAGAGAGAGATAGCGTTGCAGGAAAGGCATCTTATCAAGTTTTCATTCAGGTTAAGTAATTCAATAAATTTGTTTTAAATAAAAATATTCCATCTCACTGTAATAAACATTGAAAAGTTTAATTCCGCAGGGAGACGAAAGTTTCTTCTATCGTAATAATTAGTAGAAATATTGATATGAAAATCACGATATAATAAAGACAGCAAAGCCATGGTAATATCAGGTAATTTTCCTCTTTGAACTTTAGGCCCGGGCAAATCAAAGAGTTTCTAAGAAAGGCCAATATTTTTTGGCCTACCATTGCTAACTTCTGCTTTACTTTTAACACGATTTATTGTAGAACACTTTATTGCCATTGTTCAGGAATGGCGACAAATAAATCTCAAAAAATTACATTGCATTCATCAGTCACCGTAAAAATGTAAAAAATTAATTAGAACCTATAAATAAACTCACTTAAGGTATCTTGCCAGGTCCGCGGGGATGTTGAAGTCATCCACGTGGATGAAAGATCCTGGGGGCAAGAACGTCTCGTAATTTAGTTTAGGCGACCCCATCACCACAGGCACGGCCCCCATGTGCAGCGCGTTCCACCACACCTGTTATTCATAGAGACGTCACAGTATTTTAAATTATATTATAAAAGGAATCCATTTGACAGCAATGTTTAATGTCAGTAGGGTCAAAACTAAACGATGAATTGATAAAGCAATGGTAGTGTTGGTGGCGGTGGTGGTGTCATCAGGAGATGTGTAAAGGAATAAGCGAAGGCGGCCAGTAGAGAACCGAAGAAAACGGTTAGCGCATAATTTGGTTGGTCGAGTTTTTGCATAAGGGATGATATATAGAGATAGAGGTGTGGATCAAAGAAGTGTTACGATACAAAAGCCTGGATAGCCACTTTGGAAAACTGAGCATTCAATACTTGAGCGTTCTGATTTTGAACAGGTTAACATTAGTTGGAGATTTACATAATATTAGAGTGGTTTTTGTTTAAAAGAAGCAGGTCGGCAAACAAGATCTTCAATGAACGTATAATAGTAATGTAATAAAAAAGGCCATTCATTAAACGAAGATATGGAATGACTGACAAATGTCAGTCTATTATTTACTATATTATTATTTACTATATTATTTTATGTTATTATCAATTTATGAAAATTTTTTGTCAAGGTAACAGAATTGAATAGAAAATCTTGGTCCAAGTTCTCTCGCGTACTCAATGCATGCATGTAGTTCCATTTAATGCCGCGATCTAATGTACATCTAAACTTGCTCAAAGATGACACTGTGCAACAGAAAAAAATATTTTTCATAACTCAAACCAAAATATCTTTCTCTAAAGAAATCGAGGTGGCTGATTTCAAGACTGCAAACAGAGGTACTCTAGCACGTATAGTTTTCGAGATATTCAAAAAATAATGTTGATGAAATTCCTAAGAATGCAACATTTGGTAAACTGAACATGATTAAATAATATTAGATTATACCGTTCAAACATCGTATTTATGTAACCAAAATTTAAGAAAATGGTAATCAAAACAGTTTCACAAGAAATCTTACCTAATTGCTAAGATATTTATTTTAGAAATGCTTTTTCCCTCTTGATTTGCGACGGTGAGTAGATTCTTCCTCCCTTTGTAGCAACCAACAATAGTCTCCCATCCAATTTGGATTCAAGCGACCTTGATCCCGACTTTAAAAAGCGCAATATCTTGGTGAAAACGCTCACTATGCTCATCACTTATATCCCCAAGGTTTTCAGGGAAAAATCCAAGTGGGAAAAAAGAAAATGCATCTTCAAAGACATGCAGCAACCCATCTTGTGGTAGGCTTCAATCATATCATCAACCAGTGCAACATAATTTTCTGCCTTGTAGTTTCCTAGGAAGTTATTTACTACAAGGATGAAGGAGTTCCAATTAAGCAGCTAATTCCAAAGCGTTTAGTGTATCCTTGAAGTCTTCATCTTTGACAAGCTCTCGGTTTTGTGGACCCACAAATATACCTGCCTTAAGCGTTGCATCATACTTGGCAGCCCTAAATTTTCTCTTCAGGTATTCTTCTTCTTATTTATTCTTATAGGAGCACTGGAAACTAGTCCATAAAGCCCCTTGCCTAAACTGGGTTTAATTGGTTCTTAACAAATCTCTTCAGGTATTCAACAGCAGGGCTATCACGGGGATTCTTTTTACAAAATTTTTCATCAATCCTAGTTTGATGTGTAATGGAGGTCGAAGGTTCCTCATCCTCTAAAAGAGAAACTGGTGGTGGGACAGGAATTGGAAGATCTAGTCCATAAGGGACAGGTTTGATGGCGGAGGGACAATCTGGATATAATATTTTTGACTTATGTTTCTTTGAGAAGCCAGCTATATTAGTCATGCAGAAATAGCAATCATTTGCATCGTTTGTTGGTTCTTGCCAGATCATTGGAACAGTAAATGGCATACTTTTTACAACACTTCTCTTTAACTTCACTTCTTGTCTGTTTGTTTGTTTGTTTGTCTGTCTGTCTGTCTATCTGCTACAAATCTTGTAATCAATATTTAACTCACTTCTACTTGTCCAATCGATCTGAAATTTGGCACACTTGCATAAAGTTGGAGACAATGCATGAATGTATTGACAGAATAAATAATTTTAAAAATTAAAAAAATATATTTTTAATATTAAAAAAATTTGACAAACTAATTTTGTTTGTTACCTATCTTATAATCGCTATTTAACACACTTCTACCGGTCCAATCGAACTGAAATTTTGCACACTTGAGTAAAGTTTGTGACAATGCATGATTCAATTGACAGAATAAATCATTTCGAAAAATTTATTTTTTTTTTATTTGAAAATAAAATTTAAAAATGACTTTTTTATGTTTGATGATAAAATTAGAAATTCATTCTACATATGTAACTTCGCAGACACTGAATTCTTTAGAAGTGTTGTCTTTAAAAAGTAATTTTTAAACGCATATTATTCTTTTTGAGCTTAGACATTGTGTTAAACTGACATAGCAGTTAGAACAGCAGATGAGGCGCCCAATTTTTTTCTTGGTCCCCAACTTGACAGCCAAAATAGTGCCTGTATGCTATCTTCACCTTGGAGGCAAGATTTTTCCTCTGATCTTTTGGGGGGAATTGGCCACAAATGTAACAGAAATTGTTAGGGTTGTTGTTAGAATTTTGAAGATTTATTTAAAAAATTACTGTTTAATTGGAATTAAAAAAGCCAAATTAGTGCTCACTTAAGATTAATTAAGAGCCTGGATTTACTACGACCAAACTTTTCTGGAATGAAATTGTGAAAAGATAAGAAAATTCAATAGCAATGAAACAAACACTAAAAATATAATCTCAGCCAATATTATACAATATAAATGCATTTGAAACCACCAATACACAACACACTTTTACCAGGCAATCCTTATTTTGAATGTACTTTCACTTTTGGAGGCTGACCTTTAAGTTATATGCATAAATACTTTCACAGACATAACTTTAAAACCGAACGTGCTAGAGAAATTTCAAGGGCATACATGGAATCAGTGTGAAAACACACATCAGATACAGGTAATTTCATACGAGTAGCAAAAATTTTGTTTCATAGTGCATGATTAGCGACTTGAACATGTGAGCTGCGACTCCACACTCACCAAACATTGTATATGCGTTCAATATACATTAATAAAATATGCGTTGAAGCCTTCCATTTTAACGTTTCTGATGAGATTCTTTAAATACACTGCAATCGCTTTGAATAACACGGGCCAACAACGTCGCGTATGAATGGCATACGGGACAATAGCAACGAGTGACACGGGCCAACAACAACGAGTATGTGCGGCATACGGCACCATGAAACAAACCTCCCACAGATCAATTTTATTCTATATCCATTATTGTATTTACTATAGAAGAGCTAGAAATGGCTGCTTAGATAACTAACAGTTCATAAATTGCTTAAATGAGAAAACATTAGGATAGTCAATGTACCGTAAATACTATTAGATAATGCGGCAAAAAAAAAACACTTCGTATTGTTCGAGTTACGGGAACACTTGGCTCGAGTTACGAGAACAGCTTGCTCAAGTTACGGGGAACAGTGGGCTCGAGTTACGGGGAACAGTTGGCTCGAGTTACGAGAACAGCTTGCTCAAGTTTCGGGGAACAGTTGGCTCGAGTTATAGGGAACAGTTGGCTCGAGTTATAGGGAACAGTTGGCTCGAGTTACCGTAAACAGTTGGCTCGAGTTACGGGAACAGTTTGCTCAAGTTTCGGGGAACAGTTGGCTCGAGTTATAGGGAACAGTTGGCTCGAGTTATAGGGAACAGTTGGCTCGAGTTACCGGGAACAGTTGGCTCGAGTTACGGGGAACAGTTGGCTCGAGTTACGGGAGCAGTTAGCTCAAGTTACGGGGAACCGTTGGCTCAAGTTTAACATGTATTGTTAAATATAAAATTTAGTATAATGTATTGAAAAACTGAGCTGTTGACCTGGTGACACGATGGTCACGAGTGCACTGAGACCCACGATCTATACAGGAGAGACTAACAAGATTGCCGTTGTCATGGCAAGGCCGCCCAGCCAGAGTAGGGAGGGGATGAATTGCTGGTGCAGATACGTTCAGTATAAATATGATAAGCGATAAGATCATTTTCTTACTTGCTTACTCGCGTTTATTGCTTTACCTTAATACGTAATTTGTCGTGGGTAAAAAGCAACGAAAGAAGTTATGAAGCATCAATTTCCAAATTCCAAAGAAGTTATGAAGCATCAATCAATTGGTCGAGTGGAAATTTGAGTCGAGTGGACGGACATTAGGGTCGAGTGGACATCAGAGTGGAGTGGACATTAGAGTGGAGTGGACATTAGAGTGGAGTGGACATTAGAGTGGAGTGGACATTAGAGTTGAGTGGACATTAGAGTCGAGCGGACATTAGAGTCGAGCGGACATTAAAATCGAGTGGACATTAAAGTAGAGCGGACATTAAAATCGAGCGGACATTAAAGTAGAGCGGGAGATATACGAGATTAGAGGGAGGGAGAGATACGAGATACGTAAGACGCCGAGGCCGTCATTAGTCCGCCAATCCCTTGCCTAATAATATGCCCATAAAAAATAATTGTTGGCTATGACTGATGAGATGAGGCATTTACTGCACTGTTTTATCAACTCCTAGCAACACAGATCGACAACTTCGAGAGCTCAGCTCAGGATATGGGGAATTCAAAAGAGAGTTTAACTTGTAAGCCGCGTCAAGACCTCATTTGAATATCAATACTTTAGCTGGCTCAATAAATGTCACTAGCTATAGTACAGCTTTTTACAGTAGAATAAATGTCTGGTGGATACTGTACAATAAAGATAAAGTAACTTTTCTGAAAGCTGCTACCAACGCCCACACCAAGAGTTCTGTAATTTGCAAAAAATCAAACCTTATCTGAACATTTCTAACTCCAAAAACATTTCACATATATTATGTTTGTAAACGATATCGTCTACCGGTACAGGTCAGGCAAACTAAAAAGGACCTGAATATATTATTATCGTTGTCATCCAATTACTTCCTTTGCCAGCAGAAAAGGTATAATTAACAACATTCGATCTTTTAATGTTATTATTATTTATTATTAAGATCATTATTAATATTAATGATTAATTCAGGAGTAGGAGTAATGATTAATTGGAGTTCAGTTTGAGACGCGGTGGAGATCGGACGTGTTGTGTAGTCGCTCCAGGAGCCTGACCGACTTGTTTCCTGCTTTGAATTGCATCCGGACTTTATTACCGTCGTGCGGTTGTGCTGGACTTCCGGAACTTTATTGCCGTCGGGCGATTGTGCTGTACTTCCGGTACCGTCGGGCGGTTGTGCTGTACTTCCAGAACTTTATTACCGTCGGGCGGCTGTGCTGTACTTCCGGAACTTTACTACCGTAGGGCGGTTGTGTTCATCAGGCTTGTTTCCGGTGATTTATTGTTTCCGGTGATTTATTGCTGTGAGGACCCTAACTAAATTTCAGTGAAGGAACTCGGAAATCATTAAACAATTAAGAAAGAAGACATTTCGATGGCTGGGAAGAAAGTAAACAAGATTGTTAAGAAGGAATGCGGTTCTTCGAAACAAGATGCACCGAAAAAATTGAACAGGAGATCGAAGTGCGTAGTTAAAGATGCATGCAAGTTTTGCAAAGAGATCTCGTTGAGAGAAGATGATCAGATGGTCATCTGTGAACACTGCGAGGATTTCATTTGCATCAGTTGCGCGAAGCTGAGCTCTGAAGAATACTCTTTCCTACAGAAAACAGAGTCGTTTCACTGGTTCTGTAGCGACTGCGAGAAACCGACTCTCCGTGCCANGAGTTTTATATTAAGAATCTTCCACATTCATCATGCATTTTCACGTAGCTGTTAAAATCTTTGCTGATATGGACGTACAAAATATATTCAAACGGCCGTTTTTTCTAATATGGTAGCATGGGCAAATAAGCGATGTTTAATTGAACGCCCTCCTCATCGTCCCAGCTGTGGCGCCTACTTAATCACTTGACTATGACTGCCGCCAAGCGGTAGAAGTTTCGTTTCGCGCGCCGCAGACCCTGGTTCAATTGAATAAAGTAGGTAATATGGAACATGTATTATGCGTAGGAGTTATGAATGCTAAGAATGCGGGTCGAAGCGATATAGCAAGTGTGTAAGACGTGGTTGTTTCGAGGCCGTTGGAAGGAGTTAGTTTACATCGAACGTTGGCAAGCCCAGCACGAGGGAAATTCCAGTCGAGGAATGCGGCGTCACTTCGAGGGTATAGGCTTAACTGTGCGTCACACCAGCGTATAAAAGTACCTTAAAATTGGCGCCAAAGGCTGTTCAACGGAGGTGACCGTCACGCAAGCACGGTCTGCAGTCAGCGGACTTTGTAACGGACGCGGCCGTGCATGAGGCCGGCGGTTTGCCCTTTTCGAACATTGACGGTCGCGAGAAACCTAGACTTATCGAGGCAACTAAGAGTCCGGTGAGCACGTCGAGAAAATCAACATCAACACTACGGCTGCGACTCAACCGTGAGACAATGCGAGAGGGCCACGAGTTGTACATCGATTATAACGCCCGTCATCAGAAGATTCACGTTTCCGAGCTCTACACCAAGAATTATCATCGGTACGGTCAGCAATATAATACGGTCACAATTTTTATCAGAAGAAGCGGTAAGGTCACAGTCAGCTTCAACCGCAGTACCGCAACGAGCTTGGAGTATTATCATCGACTATGAAGACGAACACCACTATTCCGAAGTACGGTCTCATAATAAACTCTACGGGTATACCGGCCGTGAGACATCGAGACATCACTGTAGTGCGCGGGAAATACGGCCATGAAGAAAGAGCAACTGTGAAAGCTGACGCGAGAATACAGCGGCGGTACGGCCGCTGAACCTACGGTCGCAAAGTGTGCGTGTATTATGCGGTCGTCTACAACAGTCGTATAGCTCAACGGAACTACAATGTATCAACGTTCTGGTAACTAGAGAGATTTTAGTGATGTAAACTGATATGTTCTCAATTTCGATTGTGTACAGATTACCTTTGTCATGTACTAGAGATTTTTTACCGTAGGATGTGAAACTTGAATTTCTCAATTTAATATGAAAGGTATCAGTGTTTCATTACAACCCTCTCATTGTACTATTTGTGCCGTAAACCTATTCATGCGAGAACTTTTTCATACGTGCCAATCAAGCGTCACTCGGCGTCAACCTGACAAAACGAGAAGTTATTAATATTATTATTCCACGAAGAGATTGTCGTGGCGTCTCGTTCAGATCGAACTTCGAGGGCACGTTACAAGTGGCTAAAAAAGACACGAGAGGATAAAAACAGATGACGTCTATGCTAAAACAAAGGACATATGCTAAAACTGACGACGTCTATGCTAGAACAAGCAACACCTATGCTAAACTAGTAATATCCATGATAGATTAGATGACGGCTAGGTCTAAGATTCAAAGGCTCTACGGAAAAGTTCTGTTTTCAGGCGTCGACGAAACAACGGCAGCGAAGAAGCAGATGTCACCGATGCTGGCAGACCATTCCATGTTCTGGCCGCAGCGACCGCGAACGCTCTGTCGCCGACGGTGGACAGACGTGAGGACGGGACGACGAGGTCAGCCTTCGACGAGGAACGCAGTCGCCTTCTGGAAGGCAGATCCGACACGCGCCGCAGGCCTTCGGCGAGATAAGGTGGTGCTAAACCATGGAGGCAGCGGAACGTCAGGACAGCGACTTTAAACTGCGTGCGCTGCTGGATGCGCAATTGCGCAGCCAGTGAAGGTCACGCTAAATCGGTGTCACGTGGTCAAATTTCCGCCGGGCACAAGCGAGTCGCGCTGCAGCGTTCATTATGAATTGCAGTTTGTTAAGTGCCGTGATGGGAAGTCCGTAAAGTGTGGCATTGTCATAGTCCAGTCTTGTCAGCACAAGCGCCACCACGAGGGCCTCGAGGATCGGCCTCGAGAGACAGCGACTGACGCTACGAATTCGCCGCAGGATGCCAAAGCAAGCAGCGGTTACTTTGGCAATGTGGTTGTTCATAGATAGTTCTGAGTCCAGCTGAATGCCGAGGCTGCGTACAGAGTATGCAGGTGCGACGAACTCGTCGCCCACTCGCACAAGGTTTGCTGGAAGCTGATGTTGGCGACGAGTGGTCGCGAACCAAATAAATTCGGTTTTCGATGCATTGAGCTGGAGCCGGTTGGAACGCATCCAGTCTGAAACGGCGTCCATGCAGGCAGACATCCGGTCTTGCAGCGCTGCAGCGTCCGCCGGCGCACAGTTCCATAAAAGGTGCTAGGCTGGCAACATTCTCCCTAAGTAGATGCGACGGCAACAGGTCGCTGGCGCACTGCTTGTTAGGCAGCGCGCGCACTGCACTGGTGACCTCATCCGCTGTGATGCTGTGACGCAGGTGAACTCGCGTAGCACGCAGTTGTAAGGGCACGGCGTAAAGGTTGCCGAAGGAGCATCGGCCGACGACGCGCGCACAGCTGAAGTTTTGTTTTCGTAGAACGCATGGAATCCTTCCACGCTCACGTCGCCCGAGGCATCCGCACGACCCCTCCCCGACCCCTCCCCAATATCTGGAACCTGAACCTGAACGTAACGTAAAATTGGAAGAGCAAGCACTGGGAGTCTTCAACTTTAAAATATATGAGACGATAGAAACTATTTTTATTCATACTTTTTATCACATTACAGTAGCGTTTTTTTTAAACAAGGCAATATTTGGAGTTCTATGCGTACTGCAGTGGGAAATTTTATTCCTTTCATATTTCTGATATCTTTGTTATGCCATGCTGTATTGCCGTCATCCAAATAATGCGTGATCGTTATAAAGTGAAGTCGGTCAGAATAATTGCTTCATACAAACGGAAAATTTGTCGTGGAATTTATTTGAAAGGTGGTTATCATTGGCTCATCAATGCGCGATGATGCAATAATTTAGATTTTGGTAAAATAGGGGTTTTCAGACAAGATGACAATCGGTACGCCATAGGTAGAACATTGGCCGGGCACACCTTCGATGCCGCATTATGTGACATCTCACGATAAATAATCGTCGGTGATCTTTCAATAAATCATCGGAGATCCATCAAGAAATCATCGGTGCCCCACCGATATTTATTGTTAAGGATTATGGCACTGCCGTTCGCTATCATAGAAATGCTCTCGTGTGGGTGCCCCCATGTACCCGTGCTCATTTAGTACGCGGTACCGCCTCCTCCAGTCGTGGTACTGCTGGTACTTAGCGGGATGGTCGAGGAGGTACCTGGAATGTTGAAAGAGAGAGAGATAGCGTTGCAGGAAAGGCATCTTATCAAGTTTTCATTCAGGTTAAGTAATTCAATAAATTTGTTTTAAATAAAAATATTCCATCTCACTGTAATAAACATTGAAAAGTTTAATTCCGCAGGGAGACGAAAGTTTCTTCTATCGTAATAATTAGTAGAAATATTGATATGAAAATCACGATATAATAAAGACAGCAAAGCCATGGTAATATCAGGTAATTTTCCTCTTTGAACTTTAGGCCCGGGCAAATCAAAGAGTTTCTAAGAAAGGCCAATATTTTTTGGCCTACCATTGCTAACTTCTGCTTTACTTTTAACACGATTTATTGTAGAACACTTTATTGCCATTGTTCAGGAATGGCGACAAATAAATCTCAAAAAATTACATTGCATTCATCAGTCACCGTAAAAATGTAAAAAATTAATTAGAACCTATAAATAAACTCACTTAAGGTATCTTGCCAGGTCCGCGGGGATGTTGAAGTCATCCACGTGGATGAAAGATCCTGGGGGCAAGAACGTCTCGTAATTTAGTTTAGGCGACCCCATCACCACAGGCACGGCCCCCATGTGCAGCGCGTTCCACCACACCTGTTATTCATAGAGACGTCACAGTATTTTAAATTATATTATAAAAGGAATCCATTTGACAGCAATGTTTAATGTCAGTAGGGTCAAAACTAAACGATGAATTGATAAAGCAATGGTAGTGTTGGTGGCGGTGGTGGTGTCATCAGGAGATGTGTAAAGGAATAAGCGAAGGCGGCCAGTAGAGAACCGAAGAAAACGGTTAGCGCATAATTTGGTTGGTCGAGTTTTTGTATAAGGGATGATAGAGAGTGAGGTGTGGATAAAAAAAATGTTACGAGACAAAAGCCTGGATAGCCAAGTTGGAAAACTGAGTATCCAAAACTTGAGCGTTCTGATGATGAACAGGTTGTCATTAGTTGGAGATTTACATAATACCAGCGTGGTTTTTATTTGAAAGAAGCTGGTCAGCAAACAAGATCTTCATTGAACGTTTGAAAGTAATTTAATAAAAAAGGCCATTCATTAAACGAAGATATGGAATGACTGACAAATGTAGCACATCACCTTTTCTGTCATGTATTCGTCGCAGTTTGTGCTTTCAAAAGCAAAGTAAAACTTGTAATCCCGGAGCTTCTCGCAGCTCATCCAGTAACGGCCTTCGCATTGGAGGGTCCCGCACTTGCCGTAGAAGTCAATGAAAATAAATTTTTGGAGCTCATATATATAATTGAACCTCCCATTGAAGCCATCGCAATGAGAATTCATGATAGTGAAATTTTTCAGCTTTAGTTTATAGTAGTCCTCGACCTTGTCCAACCTTTCGTCTTCAGATAGATAAACGGTACGTCCGTACGGCACCGGCACACTAGAATCCATTTTGTAGTTCATTGACCAGTTAAATAATCCGTTGTAGTGGCTAAGGACGCGGTCTCTCGCCGCCCCAAGAACGTTGTTGGGATTCTCGTCGGTAAACCAAACCCAGAGCTGCCCTGGGTCTCTAGGAACATCAACTGGAGGTTCAACTACCAGGTTCAGGTAGAAGAGCACAGCGTCAGCTCCCAGTAAATCATCATCTTTTAACGTCACTCTGCAGTTACTTACTGTACAATCTTCAACGGATCATTTTTTTCAGAAGAGCCAATTTTGAAAAATCTTGGTCCAAGTTCTCTCCCGTACTCCATATAGTTCCAAATGTGGATCGTGAATATTCTATCTTGTTCGTGACCAATCTTTTCGTTCAAGAACACGCGTCGGCCCAGCGTTGACAAACCATGTAAGTCGGATGAAGTTAGATTCATCAGTTTGTTGTAGACGCGGTACTGTCCTCCGGCAACTTTGACTTCAACCACTGTGGATACATTGCCGACGTCAAGTTGAGCCCTTCCATGATACACGATATTAGGCAGAGAAACATGCCCAAACATTGCATTATATCTTCTGGCTACCAAGAAAACGAGCCACACGAAAAGTGAAACAACTCCCAGAAAAGCAGCGCGTTGTATTTTTCTGCAAGGACGCCGCAGAATGAGACCCTTTTCTGACTCCTTCATTTTCATTAGCTTCCAGAGAACTTAGTTGGGGAAAATACTTACAGCGCATAGAATTGAAAGTCTCGAGTGTTTCAATTAGGACAGAAAAGCAAGAAACTCTGGCGGAAAACATGAAAGTATGGTAAGCAGAGACAGTTGAAAATTATATTTACTGATTTCGATTTAATTATTTTAACGTTAATTATTCCTGCAGCTTTTAGCTTTCGCAAAAAAACTGTGGACATAAACCAAATGAGATTCAAAATCGCTACTGAAAATTAATAAGTCATCTACGAAACTAGTTAAAAATTTTTAACAGTCTCCTAATATTTATTTCAACACACGGTTACACAGAACACTAGCAAATATAATTCCAAAAAGTACACAATTAAATTCAAATTGTCCGAACTCTGTAACAAATGATGCGAGCTGCTTTGAACTCTCTTCCAACGGACTTGGAAGTACGCTTTCGTTGAATCTAATTTCGACAGAAATTTTGCTTCGCTGAGTTTTTCAATGCTTCTCTTCTCTGGCATCGGATAATTGTCAACGTTAATATGTGGATTGAGTTTCCGGAACTTTATAGCTTGTCGCAATGAACCATCAGCATTGCGCACAACCACCATCGGAGACGCCCACTCACTGGTTGGCTTTCTTATGATGTCCTGGCGTTGCCATTTCTCCAACTCTTCCTGAACTTGAGCTTTGAGATGAAATGGCACCTTTTATGGAAGTGTCCTTATCGGCTTCTCTTTATCTACAGAAATACGATATTTAAAAACAACAATCTGTCCAGGAATTGAACTAAACACAATTTTCTCTTCGTCTAGAAGAATTTGAATCTGTGCCTTCTGCTCTACGGTCAATTCATTAGATACTTTAGCTTCCAATCCAACTGTAGTGTCAGCTAATTGACTGACCTCCACTTTTTCCGCCTGGCTTGGCACTTCTCGAGTTCGGAATGGCTTGAGCATATTTATGTGTTAAATACACTCGTTCGATCCAACTCATATGACGTAGTCGACTTTATTGAGTCTTCTCACCACAAAAAACGGCGTTTTCCACTCAGCTTGGAGTTGTTGGTTGACGTTGGTAGCAGCAGCAGCAGCAGCAGCAGCAGCAGCAGCTTCAGCAAAACTTCATCGCCAACCTTAAAAGTTCGTACGTTCGGTCATAATAGAACTTTTCTTTCTTTTTACTTGTTTTCTCATTGTTGTTTGCTAGTTTCATGAACTCTTTTACTCTTTGCCTCATCTGCATCGCATAGGACGTTGCTGATAGCTCTTCTTCATCCGTCGAATTACACAAAATTTTCTCTTTGATCAAAAACATCGGTCCTCGCATTTCGTGCCTAAACAAGAGTTCAAATGAAGCAAAACCGGTCGGCAACTGTGGAGTTTCTCTGTAAGCGAATAATAATGGCTGCAAATAACGGTCCCAATCTTCCGGGTTTTCCTCAATTATTTTTTTTCAACATCTTCTTTGATGATTTGTTAAAATTATCACAGGACCCATTGCACCGTGGATGGTAAGGCGTTGTGTGGATACTCTTGATTTGAAGCAACTGATTCAATTTCCGCATTACCGCTGACATGAATTGGGTTCCTTGGTCTTGAAGTATCTCCTTCGGAAGCCCCAACCTTGAGTTGATTCCGAGAAGAGCCTCTGCAATAGTATCGCTGTCGATCAGCTTGAGAGGAACTGTATCAGGGTACTTCGTAGCAAGATCAATGAAAACTAATGCAAACCGCGCTGTGGCCTTTTTGACTTCGTCAACGGTCCAATTAAATCTATCGCGACTCTTTCAAAAGGCGTGCCTACAACAGACAGATTAACTAATGGAAGTTTGGGAGGCTTACCAATTATATAGTTTCGCTGACATACGCCACACGATCAACAGAATGTCGACACATCCGCATACACACCCGGCCAATAGAAATGCTGCATAACGCGTTTTACGGATTCCCAAATGACCGGACATCTTTAGCTCAACAACATCTTTAGCTTGCCTGCTCTGTAAGCTCAATCTCATCAACACATCGTTACGCACTTAAAATTTGGGAAAAGCAGTAGAATCTTCTAAAGCTTTACGAAAACACACCTTCAGCTTGGGATCGGATTTCTGCATTCAGCCGTTGTTAAAGTGTCCATGTCTATGTGTATTGGTCTACTGGGTCGAGTCGAAACTACCTCCGGTTGTTCGTCAGCGCGAGTTTGACTTCTGGTCTGAACATAACAAGCAACATTTTCGCCAGATACACTTGAACTGGTAGAACTATCATCAGCTGGTACATTGGAACTACCTGCACATGATGCTCCATTAACATTGCCTACAAGCACATCAAATGGTAATTTCGGTACACAAATTGCATAAGTACGGCCCGAAAAAAATACACAATCTAGATCAATGAGAGCTCTATTTGCCAACATCTTGCTTCCATCAGCAAACTTAAGCCACACAGATTCGTTTTTCAGAACCGATCTCGCATCAATCAAATCAGACCTTACTAAAACTGCTGTTGATCCCGTATCCCTCAAAACTTTAACATCTCGGCTATCGCATGTTCCCAGAACAAGTGGCAGATTACCACTGTAATTTACACTATTGTTAATTGCAAAATTTACATTCACAGTTGGATCTTTCTTCTTCTGATCTGAAGACGATCCCCCCTGTTTCGACCAACAGTTCTTATCAAAATGTCCTGGTCCTCCGCATTTGTAACATTTAACGGCATGAACACCACCTATGAGCTCTGCTGATCTGTTCCCACGCCCTGAACAAGATCTAGCTGAATAACGCTCACCCGAAGAATGATCAGTCAAAGTTACAATGAAAAACTCATCTTCAACTTGCTTGATTGTTTCCCGCGAATAGCCTGATATTTGTCAGCAATTTTAATAACTTCATCTAAGGCAATCTGAAAGATATTTCGTTCCTTCAAAAATTCTGCGAGACCTTTATCTACACAACGCAACAATTGGTCTTTTATCACTAATTTTTGTAACTTTTTAAAATTACCGTCGACATTGGCAAGAGTCTGCATCTTTTAAAGGTTTTCTTTCAGATACAAAATGAAATGAGAAAATGATTCCTCTGCTTGACGAGCACTATGGAATCGCAGCTGGTAATCGTATATAGCGAAGCCAAAACTCTGCGAAATTAGGTCTCTTACCCCTCAACATATGGTAACCCAGGTGACAATGTATTCAAAAACACTCCAACCTTTGTACTGGCAAAACCGTTCATCAATGCAGGAATAGCAACACTTACCGACCAGCCATTGGCCTCCTTAATTCTCTCAAAAGTTCTCAAAAATACCGCAACATCCTCTCCTCCCTTGAAAGGATTCAATTTAATGTTGGTTCTCGAATGTCCTGAAATCTGGTTTGGCACGCTTGCTTCAATTCGCGTCCTCTCCATTTCGAGTTCTGCCATCCGCAGTTCGTGTTCTCTTTTCTTCTCTTCTCGTGCAAGCAGTCTTTCTTCTCGATCAGCCTCTTCTTTCCTTCGCTGCTCTTCCTTATCTAAACGCTCATCTTCCCTCCTCAATCTCTCTGTCACGTACTTCAACAATGCAATGTCACTGAGACCCAATTCCTTTCCGTCACGAATGAATTAACGTTGACTCAACCATTGCTCAAAAGTAAGTTTCTTTTTCTCGAACTGAAAATTAGAAGATGGCTCAAATTTATATCAACACTTTAACAGTCATAACACTTAGCTCTTCATCCGAATATTCCACTATCATACTGGCCACCATTGTACAATTTCTATTGGTTCAGGTTCAAACGGATGTGTTTGAACGGATGTGTTTACGGATGTGTTTAACGGATGTGTTTACGGATTCAAACGGATGTGTTTACGGCACTTGCGATGGGTTGTTACGGTTATTTAGGCTTGGTCCAGGTTCCAAGTTTACCAAGTAGAACAGCAGAACAGAGGAGGGAAGTTCTCCACGAGCAAGATCACAAGCAGCTGACTTATAGTATTTTATGTTCTCACAATTTGTCCATTATTGTTATCAACTTAAGAGAATTGAATAGAAAACAGAATTTCTGAACTTGCTCAGAGGTGATTCCAAGAACTGCACCCAGGCACGCATGTAGATGAACTGATCGATGATGTCAACGGTGATGTAGCGTTAGCGTTGAACTCAGCTGTTCTAAAGCAACTTGAACATGTAAGCTGCGACACTAACCAAATATTGTATTTGCGTTCAATATACATTAATAATATATGCGTTGAAGCCTTTCATTTAATGGTGTTTTAAGAGATACTTCAAATGAACTGTAATAACAACGTATAACACGGGCCAACAACGACGAGCATGTAAGGCTACGGCACTATGAAACACAAAAAAATTAAAATCGAAATGTTACACAATAATTTTTCTTCGTCGTTCCTCCCACAGATCAATTTTATTCTATATCCAGTATTGCATTTACTATAGAAGAGCGAGAAATGGCTGCTTAGATAACTAACAGTTCATAAAATGCTTAAATGTGAAAACATTGGGATAGTCAATGTACCGTAAACACTCTCAGATAATGCGGCAAAATAAAACTTAGTATTGTTCTAGTTACGGGAACAGTTGGCTCGAGTTACGGGGAACAGTTGGCTCGAGTTACGGGGAACAGTTGGCTCGAGTTGCAGGGAACAGTTGGCTCTAGTTACGGAGAACAGTTGGCTCGAGTTACAGGGAACAGTTGGCTCAAGTTACGGGAACAGTTGGCTCGAGTTTAACATGTATTGTTAAATATAAAACTTAGTATAATGTATTGGAAAACTGAGCAGTTGACCTGGTGACACGATGGTCACGAGTGCACTGAGACCCACGATCTATACAGGAGAGACTAACAAGATTGCCGTTGTCATGGCGAGGCCGCCCAGCCAGAGTAGTGAGGGGATGAATTGCTGGTGCAGATAAGTTTAATATAATCTGATCATAAATTGTAATGATATTATATAATATAATAACTCACTCGTGTTTATTGGTTTACCTTGGTACGTAATTTGTCGTGGGTAGAAAACAACGAAAGAAGTTATGAAGCATCAATTTCCAAATTTCAGTCGAAATTATCGAAAAAAACATTAATTATGGTTTTATCTAGATTGCAAATTATGATGAACCTGTTTCACGATCTTTTTAGAGATTGCAAAAATTTACGTAATAGCAATGCAAGAATTTCGTGGAATGTTTTTTTTTTTACTTTGTATCGATTAGTGAGTTATTGTATTCGGGTATCTAAAACGATTCGTTTATTGGTCTTTTTCTTAGTGGAAAAATTCAAGCAACAACAGCGATGCATAAAATATTTCTTATATAAGCTTTAATATCAGAGATATTAAAGAGATATTTAATACGAATATGCCTAGAGTATTCGTATATGTCGTGCAGTATATACAGTATTATCTCTGAGTATATTGTTATTATAGTGGTATCCTAAGTACATGTAGGTGTCGGTCTTGCTAAACAGCAGACGTCGAGCTGTAGATTACAACAGATCAAGAACTTGCACTCACAATCATTAATTCTTCGTATTTTCTATATAGCGAATTATTGATCCCTATCAATAAAGGGCTACGTTAAAATGCCCCACTCTGTATCAAACTTAGCCCTTAAATTAAGCCGGGTCTGAGCGTAGGTCTGAGTTAAGCTTTTGCCTGACTGAAGTTT